ATGAAGCAATATTAGTTATGGGTGTCCTCCAGTTCTCACACTGATGAAATTGGATAAAGCACTTTTATTTCTTTGTGAACAAAAGTAACATTTGGAACTCCATACATCTCAGGTGTTTACTGGTGCATCCAGCTCTCTGCACCCTTATGGACTTGGGTTTTTGATCATTTCAGGCAGATATATGACCAACTTGACTAGTCCCTGAGTTTCAGCCATCTCCTTTGTTTCCTTCCTTTCATTACTGGACAAATTAATTAATCCAGGTGTATCTGGTCAATGTTTTCATGATTACTGTCAGAAACACCTGGATTGCTCAGTCCAGCGATGCAATACAGGAAACAAAGGAGCTGGGTGAAGTTCAGACAGTTGGGCATGTACCGTAGCTCATTGCATTTCTTCATGATCTCATTGGCTGTGGCTTCCTCATCTTGATTTCCAGATGGAACTCTTCATCACTCTGACCTCCTTGACCTATCTACCCCTGTGTCTTCAGTTCCTCATATAATGTTCCCAGTCATTTTAAACTCACTGAGAAATCTTTGCAGACACACACTCTGGTTTTGCAAGGTCTGTTTGTCTGTCTCCTCCATCAGTTGGTGATGGCAAACTCATAGAGGGAAATCATGCAACTTTTGCAACCCTCCTATGTTGCTATGGTATACAAAAACCACTGCAGGTCTTTTTTTAAACCATATTAAACAATCTCATAGACTGTAGATGCCATAAATTAAATAAAACTGTCATTTTGCCATTAAAAATAAACAAGTAGAGTCTTAGAAACTCAGATAAAAGGTTCTTCAGATGTTTACTGATTGAAAGCATAACATTGAAAAACATTTTAGGTATAAAAAGCATGTGAAGCATATGAGCAATTAAGAAAAAAACTAATGTTTACTGAAGTATGAAAAGAATAACTTCTGGGTCTCAGAGGGACAGACAGGCTGACTGATCTACCTACTTATAGAAGAAACTCCATGCTTCATCTTTATTAAATAAACAAATTATAGATTTCCTTATTTTAAAAGCTAAAAATACAGATAAACTGTTTGTTATTTGAAATGGCAACAAATTTCCGATATCAGATATTTAACAACAATAACAAGCTTAGTTTTATAGAGGAGATGTAATATTTGCAGCTCTGATCAACTTTTACATGGCTGCAAACAGGAAAAAAAAGGCTGTTTAGATTTTAAAGGTTGCAGACTCCTTTTTAAACAATATAGATTAATAATATAAACAGCTCTTTCAGGACATGATAAAGGGCATCATTAAAAAAAATCACTCTGCTGCAGCAACAATCTTGGTTGTTATGGTTACAGGAATCATCAAACTGACTTACACTGTAGAGTCATTCTGGCTGACCAGGATAGGACTTTGGTTCTTTGGATTATAATCCAGATTAATAAACTAAATGTGTTTCAGCTTTAGATTTTGCTCTGAGTTCTTTTCTTTCTTCCTTATGAGTGGAAGAGGCGCTATAGGGAGTATTTTTAGTAGATCAGTGATTCATGGGAAGCTCTAACATTGTTCCTTGTTTCCTCCATTCATTTGAAATGTTTCTCACCTTGGTTTGCTGGAGTCCCAAAGTCTTAGTCACTCTTTCATAACCGATTCATTTGAAGCGCTTTGTTTCCGTTTTGGAGGGTTGAAGAGTTACAACAGGTGATGTTTGAGGGATTTCATTTTGTATTTATTCGGGTTATTTTGTGTGGAGTGAAATTTAGTTGGAAGGATCTGCACATTCCAAAAAAAAAAAGTAAAGAAAAAACGTTAAAAAAAACAATCCATTGGACTTTTTTTCCAAGTTTGAAGATGTTTCGCTTCCCATCCAGGAAGCTTTTTCAATTCAAAATGTCAGGAATAGCGTAGAGTTTGAGGTTTCATACAGTAGCCCAACAAAGCCTTGTTTTTGTTTGAATTGGTCCACCGCTTTGGAATGGGGGGCCTCAACATTATTCCTGACATTTTGAATTGAAAAAGCGTCCTGGATGGGAAGCGAAACGTCTTCAAACTTGGAAACAAAGTCCAGTGGATTGATTTTGAACTTTTTTTGTAATGACTATGACCTGGATGATTGAGAATCTTCACCAGCATCTGCACATCAACTACAGAAAGGAAACAACAATAAATAACAGATATCTAGAAAGAGGAAAACACAGCAGAACACTCACTGACACACTGGTGTAAAGCATAAAGTAAAAACAGAAATCCAGCCATTAATGTGTCAAACTATTTTTACTGACATTTGCAAACTTGATACAATCCTAACAAACTTTGATAAAAACCTAAAACAAAAACACCACATCTAATATAACAAATACAACACAGTAAATAAGAAAAATGAACAATTTTGCAAGACATGTACAGGTTTTAGCAGAAACACCAGAGTAGGACACATTTGTCAGTTTTTTTTATGTAGTTCCATGAGTCAACAGTAAATGCTTACATTTTTAGTAGGTGTCTGAAAATACACAAAGCTTGATTTTCATTAGCTGCAAAGACAGGTGTTGTTAGTAACCAGTTTTGTTAGTTAGATCTACTTAGATAGAAACAGTGTTTTCCATTAGAACTGAAAATCTAATTTGTTTTTATTCCATCTTGAAAAAACACCAGAATACCAGTTTAATAAGTATTTCCACACTACGTTCCACATTTTACTGTTAATATGCTTGTAAACATGTCCCTTTAATATTTTAATACCCAAAATGGAAATACAGATAGTGATATGATTGTATTGCATATATCAATAAGCACCAAATGAAACCAGTTGTTTCCCAACCTGCAACTGAAAAGCATTTCTCATTATTTTAGTTCTCATTTAATGCAGCATGTATCCAGTTAGTATGCTATTTAAAAAAGGGTCCAAAAACTAATTTGTGGTTATTTAACACTGGCATTAAAAAGCAGTTTCTTCCCACTTTAAGCACCGTTAACACACTAAATATTATGTCTTTTTTTATTTTCTGAATTTTTCATATTCTGAGCTATTATACTCCAGCCTTGTTGAAGGTAACATGACTTTATCTTTGATAAAGTTTGTTTAAACTTCATTGACAACAGTTTACAAAGAAAGCTCATCCCTCTGCTTAGTCTTCTAATTAAAATCTATTTGATTCACCTTTATGTTTATCACCTCTCCTTAGAATTTAAAATAAACACTGGGTAATGGCCTTTGCAGCCAGGTTCAGACAGATAAGACGTATGGCATGCTTTTTTTGTGTTTTTTTTTAAGCAAAGTGGTGTTTATTTATTTACTTTCACTCTGGCCGAGTTTGTTTATTATTTTTTCCTAAGTTACAGTTAGTTTAAAAGCAATGGTTGCAAATAAAAGCTCCTTGGAGCACACAAGAAAGTGACTTTATAGGTTTTTTAAAAATGGAAAAATCCTACAGCTTATTTGACTGGGATTGATTAGTGACAAAGAAAAACAAATCCAAGGGAGAAGTTCCTATTATGACCTCTAGCAGAGAGAAACTATAACATTCTTTTAAACAAAAGGAAAGGTATGGATTTATCTTTATTTAATGCTACAAAACCGGCAAACCTTCATAGAGATTCTGAAACTGACGCAGATAAATTGGTGCATGAAAAAAGTAAAAAATGAGGCACATTAAGTGGATCCAAGTCTCAGAATATAAACCTAAATGATTTAAAAAGAGGTTTTCTTGAAATCGCTTTTTTGTTAATTGATTGGTTTCTTTTGGTACCAAGGAGCCAGAAATATAATAATATAATAATAATATATCTGGATGCTGTATTATGGCCTAAATCAAACAGAAAGGAACTGAAGAAATGGTATCATTTATCTAATTTATCATGAGAACAGGATACAGTTGTGGTTTCTGAAGGTTTAATATTTTTTTTGTATGTTGTGTGTTTTCAAATGTGATCCCAAACTTCCGCTTTCATCGCAGCCCCTGTACAGGAGTGCGGATAAGAATTCCCTTAACGACCCCCCTTTCAGACACTTAGACGGCTTTGCAGGCTAACAAAAGAAGCCAAACGACCTCCATTCCAAAGCGGTGAACCACTTCGTCCATTCCAGTTTGCATGTTTTCAAAACAAAAACAAGGCTTTCTTCTGTTACTTTATAAAACCTCGAACTCAACGCTATTTCTGACATTTTGAATTGAAAAAGCTTCCAGGATGGGAAGCGAAACGTCTTTAAACTTGGAAACAAAGTCCAGTGGATTGTTTTTAATTTTCTTTTTTTGGAATCTTAAACTCCCTACAAATTCCCACATTTAATTTAAGTTCACCCCTCATTTAAATAATAGATGTTTTTTTTTTTGTATAATTTATAAAAAATAAAAAACAAGCTTTCTAGAGATCTGCCTACTTTTCAATCAGTGAAACTTATCTTAATCAGTAACTCTAAATAAGGATTACAAACAACAAAATGTTTGCAGTGAAATAAAAAGAAAAATAATAAAAAATAAAACAACGGAGTGGTTAATTATCCTGTTTTGGTAGGAAAAACAGAACCTATATGTAAAATGAACACAGATATACAATCAACATCCCAGCACGTCTTTCTAGAGGATGATTTCAATTTTTTTGGCATCATCTATTCAGAATACATTTACCTTCATTGCTAAACTGAAATGCTGTAACGCATTTCAAGGTACTGTGGTCTGGCATATATACACTCACCGGCCACTTTATTAGGTACAACTGCTTGTTAACACTTAATTTCTAAGCAGCCAATCACATGGCGGCAACTCAGTGCATTTAGGCATGTAGACATGGTCAAGAC